AGCCGAGACTAAAGGGGGCTGGAAAATTCACTTCGCGCCAGTTTTTTGGTTGGTTAGTGTATTATATATATTTCTTTTTATTTAAATATTAAATTCTTATTATTTGCTTAGTAAATTAAATACTAGGCATAATATTTTTTTTAAAGTAATAAAATTTATTTTGATTTACTGCACACAAGAAAAATATGTGACCTAAACTATTGTCTTTTTAATTATAAATATTGAACATAATGCAACTAATAATCACTATTTTCGTTAATGCAAAAATATAGACTTTAATTAAAATCAATAAATCTATTGGTTTTCTACAGGAAATTTGTTTTCACATCATTTTAACGTAAATCTTTAAGTTCTTCATCAATAATTGTATAATTAATCGGTGAATTCGCGCGGAAATTCAATTAAAGAGCAAAAAGCACCAAACCCGCTCAGAAAAATCTAAAACTTGGTGGTGGCCTCACACAGGGCATTTGCATTCCTGAGAAAAAGTTTGAGACCAATCCGGCACTGGAAAGCACATAGACCTTAGAATCCCAGAGAACCTATGTGTATAGATAGTGTTCGACGAAATGTTCTATATACCTCTATGAAGCACATCGACTCCGCCTATGTCGAAATGGCTTGAAATTTCTTTGGCAGTCATTTACCCCCAAAATATGGGCCCACACAAGATCTTAGGTTTTTCTGATAATTATTTTTATTATTACATTTTTCTTTGTGCCGCGTGAGACGAAATACGGTGAATTATAGATTGAAAACACTAGAATTTTGCGTCGACCTCCACAGAGATTTGTCACCTAGGGCACAAGAGATCATTTGGCAAAGTTTGGCACCATTCCGGATCTTTTCGGGGGTGGACTCAGTTCAACGTATAATTAATCGGTGAATTTGCGCGGAAATTCAATTAAAGTGCAAAAAGCACCAAACCAGCTCAGAAAAATCTCAAATTTGGCGATGGCCTCACACAGGGCATTTGCAGTCTTGAGAAAAAGTTTGAGACCAATCCGGCACTGGAAAACACATGGACCTCAGAATCCCAGAGAACTTAGCTATATAGATATGGTTCGACGAAAGGTTTTATATATCTCTGTAAAGCACGTCGACTCCGCCTATGTCGAAATGGTTTGAAATTTTTTTGGCAGTCATTTACCCCCAAAACATGGGCCCACACAAGATCTTAGGTTTTTCTGATAATTATTTTTATTATTACATTTTTCTTTGTGCCGCGTGAGACGAAATACGGTGAATTATAGATTGAAAACACTAGAATTTTGGGTCGAAATACGGTAAAATAAAACTTAAAAACTTATGTGTGAAAATTATAATTTTCCCCTAAAATCTAAAACTATTTTTTCAACAAAAGACTCTAAAAATCAAAGTATACTTAAGAAAAGAATATAAATGAAACTAATAAACTAAAACTATTTGTTTTTTTTAATAACCACTGGCGGAAGCTTTATTCCCTGTTAGAGGTTATAACCAGGAACAAAGAGCAATATTTATTCCCGTCTAAAGCCTCCAGCCCGGACTAAACATTTAGTCCCGGTTAATGGCTCTAGCCGGGACTAAATGTCGATCTTTAGTCCCGGTTATAGCCTCTAACCGGGACTAAAGGTTTGCCTGCCGAGCCAGCAGCGTTGGGCAGCGACCTTAAATCCCGGTTCGAGGGTATAGCCGGGATTAAATCTCCTTCACTCCCGGGTTCAAAAAAAATGCCCGGAGTAACTCCGAAAATGGTGCTGAGACAAAAGGTCTGTTTTCTACTAGTGTTTCGTTCCTGACTAAATTGAATAGGAATCCTAATTTAAATAAAAAAAGATAAAAGTAGATTCCTCAACTGTTCTTATCTTCTTGCGTTTCTGTTCTAATATTTCTGCGTCCAATTTTTTGTCCCGTCGTTTTTTCTCGGATCTGTGTGATAGACTTTCCGATTTTCTCATGCTCCATTTTTCTCCGTGTTTTTCCTCCAGTCCGTGTCCATATAGGCTTTGCGATTTATTTTTCCTTTCCGACGGTTACCTCTCAATTTATTTCTCTTTGTTTTTTATAATACTTGAACCCTCTATGTCTATTCTCTATCTATACCTAATAGATCTATGTTTATACCTTAATATTTATTAACAGTATATTATATCTATACGGTAGTTTATGTCACATACAATACCTATCTATACCTAGTAGAAGAGCCACCACATCACGCCACAGACGGGCAGCCGTTTTTGTTTACACGTTTTTTCTTTCAGCTATGATAATTTCCGTCACGTACGACACCCGTGGACCCACCTTTCCGATCTCGCCCCGTTCGTTTGAACTTATCAGTCATAGTATAATGTTTTTCTCTCATAATAAAACAGCATCAGTCGGCTTATCAGTCGCAAAAACCATCAGCCGAATAGCTTAAGTACAAGAGCCAAAGGGTTTGTGATTCACGATTTTTCTTTTTTTTTAAGACTTCGATTCGTGATTCTTCGAAGTCACGGACGAAGCCATCATTTTTTCCCTTTTTTCGATTTTCACCTTTTTTTTTACCACCAGAGTCATGAGCCGACGATTTCCCATTCTTCAAAGTAATTGTGTTTTTCCACTTAAAAACTCAGGAGTACAAAATAAATGTGAAAAAGAAAGTAAAAAAGACAACAATATAGGCCTTCAAACCATTAGCGCTTCCTCCGACAAGAAGGGTATACACTTGACATCACTATTGCATTTCTCATTTGACACAAAACCAGCAATTATGTTTGCACTTGCTTCAAATGATGGATCAAATTGTGAACTGAGACCTTGATCAGTTTGTGTTGTGATGATCTCAGTAAGGGTTACGTGACCGAGTCCTGAGGGAGGCAACCCCACGTACACGATCTGATTGGGGTCGCAAAACTGAACCCTGGTTGCGACTTCCATTACGCAGTGCTTATAAAAAAGAAGGTTCCCTAACCGTCTGGATAGCTGATGCGAACGAGAGACGCTAGCCACACCAAACCTTAAGCACCCGATCTAACCAAAGCATAGGAATAAAGGGAAGGCCGCCGCCCTATGTCTCCTTCTCCGATCTCGTCGACGGGGTCATCACCGTCACCAGCAGGTTGACCAAGGAGGGAGTCGTCGTTGATAGGAGGACGCCAGTGACAACTGTACAACTACGGGATACACCTTCCTTGAGACTCTGTGTCGGGGCTGCTCTCTCTAAGTAGACACGGGTCCCCGCACCTAAAGCCTAATGACTTCCTCCTATCCTAATGAAGGTAAACTCGAGAGATGTACTAATCTAAGCCTAAGATTAGGTATCCTAATCCTATTTAAGTTTTAATAACCCTAAGTAATTTCTAACAGTTTCTTATCGAGATCAGTATAAATAAATATACTCTCACATTATATGAGTGCAATCCCCATTAAAAGGCACAACATGGAAAGTCGAGATAGAACTCTCGTCATAATCATCTATGGACAAACTAATTGTAGCCTAACATGTTGGCAACAAACTCTTGGCTGACTTATATGAAATATCAGAATTACAACGTAGGGGAGGCTGTCAATAACTTTGTTTTTTTCGTTGCAAAGCATGGACATATTTGCTAGTTATATATTACATATGAAGGAGTTTTGTCAACGAGCCTATCAGTGTGTGGCTGTCTACACATGCAAGATCTGAGATCTGTTCAACACTTAGAGACCGACACTACTGAAATTCTGTTTATGGGCTGAAATCCTACCGAGCCATGACCAGCCTACCTGTTTTCCCTCGGCCAAGACCAAAGCCGCCACTTGCCATGAAACTGAAGGAGCAGACCATGTCCTATCCCCCCAAAAAAAAGAAGTTGGCATTCTTACAAAATAGCCTATGGAGAATCTTATTGCCTTTCTTTTGTTTCATGTGTTTAATCCATCTTTGGCACTATCTTTTTTTTTGCAAGCAATCCTGTCCTTTCTTGCCCCCAAATGTTGTGTCCTCCATGCCAGGTTCATATTAGCACATATTGGCACACGGGCGCAAGTCTAGATCCATTTAGATGGTCACTAAAACCCAAAACAGAGGTTAAGACCTAAAATGATGTATTATATGAGTGCAAAGACTGATATAACACATTTTGATAAGTTTGAGGATGGACCATACACTTTACTCCATCATCAATAGTCAATAGTAATAAATCTGAGTAATGGGTGGGGGTTGTGCTGCTGTGTGAACCTTACTCTGACCACAACCACCAGACAGTGAAACATATTTTTTTTAAACATATAAATGTGAACCTTATGCGCGAGTATCTTCTCAAAGAATTCAGCAGCAGGCTGAAAACGGAATATAATAGCCAACCGTTCTCGTGCATGCTTCGATTCGACCGTTATTGGTTATTATTCAGTATTATTCACCGTACGGGCTCCTGTAGTTTTGCTTCCTTGTCGTCCTTGCTTTCACCTGGATAATTGCTCCTTTGAAAAACTTGGGGTAGGGCATGCAGAACGAGATAGGCATTGCCGGCCGTTGAGCTTTGTTTTCAGCACGGTTGCTGAGCTACAGTTCTTTTGGCGGTGCAAAGCCAGGGACCAGGGCCGGGACGATAATGGTGGGAATTGCTTGGTGATCATGCATGGCGCCTTCGGTCTCTTTTTTAAGCCGAAACATCATGTCGAGGACTTCTCGGCGACTCCACCATCTCACTGTAACTCACCCAAGGTAGCTGAAACCTCACTGGCGCTGATCACCTTCCAGTGACACAGCCTCGCTTGGTAAAACGACCTCAGAGGTCAGAAAGGTGTGGTACTGTATCGTAAGCCGCAAGTGAGCCACCCTAGCGGCGGCACACGGCACGAGCTCCCCCGTCCCGCGTATAAAACCGCGCCATCGGATCGCTCACCGAGTTCTTGGATCGTGAACTCGATCGCGCCGCGACGACGACACATCTCCCACGCCGCGGCGACTACCACTTAACCACCACCACACCACTTCCCACTTCCCACTGGCTGACCCGCTCGCTCGGCCGATCGAGATCGAGAGAAGAAGCAAGATGCCGCTGCCGCCAGCTCCCAGTCCCAGCACCGGCGCCCGCGGCGGCGCGGCGACGCCGCCCAGCAAGCCGCAGAGCCCGCTCCGCATCACGCACGAGGGCGAGTTCTACGCGCGCCTGCTCACCAGGGAGAGCTCGGTCGGGAGCCCGCCGTCCTTCCGCTACTACGGCGCGGGGACCGGCGCCGTGCCGTTCGTGTGGGAGTCCCAGCCGGGGACGCCCAAGGATGCCTACTCCTCCTCCTCCTCCCGGATGCTGGCCGCTGCCGCAGTCGCGCCGGTCATCACCCCGCCGCCCTCCTACTACCTCCGCAGCGGCGTGCCACTCGGCTACAGCGCCCGGCGCCACGGCAAGACCGGCGGCGGCAGCAGGAGTAGCGGCAAGTACTTCGGGTACAAGCTCAAGTGGGTCAAGGTCAGCTTCATCCCCACCGTCTTCCGCCGCCTCGCCTTCGGTAATAAGTCGAGGTCCTCATCGTCGGCGGCGTCGGTCAAGTCCACGTCGTCGTCCTCTACACGCTGGCTCTTCTCCAGCTCCAGCACCGCCGACGACGCCGAAGCCCGGGAGCAGGAGTACTGCGGCTACGATCCTGCTGGTGAGCCGCGGACAAAGGGGGTGTTCTGCCTCGGCATCCGGCCGAGCCCGTGGATGGTGCAGTTCTGCAGCGGCCAGAGGGAGCAGACTGGCTGGGTGTACGGCTGGCGCCCGTCGTAGTCGTCCGGCCGCCGGCCGGTCACTGTCTAACGAAGCATATGTGCACCGCCCGGTCCGTGTCCGTGTATGCAGTACGTGTGGTTGTGATCTTATATATATATATATATATATATATATAGGAGCTAATTGTTCGTGCATATGGATGTTCCTGTGTTTGATCGAGTGTCCGTCACTGTGCTTGGAAACAAGATAAGATAAAAGCTGTTCGTTTCGGTCGTTTAGTGGCGTCGTGTTGCCATGCCCGGATATATGTATGTTGTATACATGCATCGTGCACCTCCGGAACCATTGTTGTTGTTGTCTAGCTAGTGGTATATATGCAATCCATATTGGAAATGGAGATCAATCACGACTAGAGACCCGACAGTTCACGTGCCCCTCAAACGATTCTCCGTGTCTGGGGTTCTTCCATTGTAGCAAGCATATGGGCGGTGTAGCTCTGAAGTACTCAGGGTGGCCGTTACTCGGAAGCTGCAGTGATAGATTGATCCGGACCAGGATGATCTTCAGTAAGATTATAAATAATAAATTCCAACGATACTAAAAAAAACAGTGGATTCGGTATGGTTCCTTTTAAACAGCGAGGCCCTCTCTATACACCGGAGCCCTTTCTTTCATCAAAAGGTATTGTGAAATTGTATAGCTCACATTCTATGGCTCTACCTATCCATTATAGAGTAAATAACCCTTTTCACAATAAGAGTTATTCATACAGTGACAATATTTAGCGCGCGTTTAGTTCCAACCTCAAATTCCAAAAAAGTGCTACAGTACCCATCACATCGAATCTTGCGATACGTGCATGGAGCATTAAATGTAGACGAAAAAAACTAATTGTACAGTTTGGTTGAAAATTGCGAGACGAACGTTTTGAGCCTAATTAGTCTATGATTGAACACTAATTAAAAAATAAAAATGAAAGTGCTACAGTATCCCAAATTTCAAAATTCAGGCAACTAAACACGCGCTTAATTATGAAAGTTGGCTAAGTAGGTGACCCTTTAGTCCGTTCTTTTAAGATAAAGGAGCATAAGCCGGGATCGAGCTATTCCATCCCCAGTTCTTCCATCAATCAAATACATGCCGGTTAGTTTTGTGTTAAGTCAAACTATCTTAAGTTTCACTCACTACCGGAATCGAATTATTTGCCGAGTGTCATATTCTTTGCCGAGTATATTTTATCGGACACTCAGCAAACTATTTCTTTGCCGAGTGCTAAATTAAAAACACTCAGCAAAGATTTGACACTCGGCAAACTATCTGTTTGCCGAGTGCCTTACTAAAAACACTCGGCAAACATTCTGACACTCGGCAATTCAACTGAAAAACACTCGGCAAACTCCGGCACTCGGCAAATATGGGAAAAACACTCGGCAAATTACGGCACTCGGCAAACATCGCACCACGTGTCCCTCCATTGCCCTTTTGCCGAGTGTCCGTTGGGCAACACTCGGCAAACAATTTATTTATTTTTTCTCATTTGACCTTGAAACTTTTTTTGTACTCAACAAACAACATAGCATAATCCATGTTAAAATTTAGCATTTTTTGATCTGTTTGCTAGTTTTAATTCATTAAATGCATTCTAGGAATTCAATTGATTTACGTCAAATTTGATTTATAAGTGCATCAAATAATAGAATAAAATGGGTAGACAAATCATATTCGTGGTGTCAAGTCTATTTTTGGCCTTACCGAAGAAATGAAAAGAAATTTGAAACATCTGGGTGCCAACACTCGACCATCGACATGTAGCTCATTGGTTTTTTAATTATAAAAAATTCAAATGAAGTCTGAAAAACATAGGACTTGCCATTGTATCGTGATATGATCCGTAGAGGCTATGGTAAAAAATTGAGAAGATTTCGAAAAAGGTGTAACGTATATTGCATAGAAACCGAAGCATCTCTAAGGAAGAATCATGGTATTGAGAGAGAACGGAACACGTTTGCCGAGTGTAATTCCCAAAAACACTCGGCAAACAATAATCATTTGTCGAGTGTATTTTGGAAAAACACTCGGCAAACCACTTTTTTTGTCGAGTGTCAAATTTGACACTCGGCAAACCATTTGCCGAGTGCGTGATAAAAAACACTCGGTAAATAGCTGTTTGCCGACACTGTAGATGCCGTGTGCTGTTTGCCGAGTGTTACTGTCGGTGCAGAAAGTGACCGACTAGTAAATATTTGTAGTTTTGTCGTACGTTGTGATCGGAGTCGGCCTAGCACTCAATGACACAGGGTTTATACTGGTTCAGACAACATGTCCTACGTCCAATTTGAGTCGGTCGGTGACTTTATTCCTGAGCCCAGGTGCTCGAAGTTTGCAGTGGAGTTACAAACGAGAGGGAGAGAAAAGGGGTGTACAAGAGGTCCGATCGGCTCCGGTCGGAAGGGCCGAAAGCGACAGGAGCTCCGCTATGAGCTAAGTGTTCAAGCGTGTGCTTAAGGTCCGAACCTGGCGGTCCTGTGGTTGTGGACTAGTGAACTGGAACGATCTAGTGAAAATGGAATGACTTTGATCAACTTGGGTTAACTTGTATGAGCTTGAATCAACTGCCCCTATTGGTAGAGAACGCATTCCCTTTTATAGATGAAAGGGTTGGCCTTACAAGTGGGAGGGAGAGAGTTCGTATGTTTCTAAGTCTTGCTGTCTACGACGGCGGGTACAGGACGACTGTAGACACCCACAATAATATTGACGTCACTGTTGAATGTCAGATGCACGTGGAAGGTTTGTGCCATCTTTGGGCGCGGCAGACGTCGGCGCCCGCCATACTGTTGATTCCTGGAGGCATGCAAAGGGTTTTTACCATGTTCCCAGTATGGTAAAAGCCGGCGCCCACAACACTGTCGATGCCTAGAGGCATGTGGTGGGCCTTACTATATGGGAGTTTAATGGCGCCCACAATACTGTAGGGAAAATATCGGCGCCTACAACGCTATTTGTGTCAGGGTGGTTGCGGAGCACTGTTCCTGCAGGTGGACAGGGTACGAGCCTTGGCATCGTGGTTTGACTTGTGCGCCTTGCCTCGCTTTCTCCGTTTGTTTCCTGATCCCTTCCGAGTGGACGTCCCCGGTCGGTTGGTCCCACACGGCTCCGGCTGCGCTAGTCATAGAAGAGCAGCGGGTAGGATTTCGGCGTACCCCGGTCGGAGACGTGGGGTCAAAGTCAAAGGTAGTGTTCTGCCAGGCCTTCCGGTCGGAGAGGCCGTTCGGAGGCGGCTGGAGTCGGAGCGGGCGCTCCGGTCGGAGAGGCGGGTCGGAGTAGGGGAAAAACGGGTGCCGCTCCTCCTCTGTCAGACCTTCCAGTCGGTGACTGGACCGCCCTTCTGGCCTGTCGTTAAGATACTTGGGCCAGCCCATGAGTCGCGTGCTGTCTGCTTGGGCCGAGCCTTTGTTGGAAAACCGGCCTGTGTGGGACCCTGGGTTTATAAACCTGACAGTTACACTCGGCAAAATCTTTGCCGAGTGTTTTTTGTCTTTGCCGAGTGCCTATGGCACCCGACAAAGTCACTGTTTCCGGTAGTGACTAATATAATTTTTATAAAATGATCAACATTTATGACCCCCAAAGAGGTATAATATAAAACAATGCTCCATGACGAATCTAATGACAATTTATTTAGTAGGATAGATATTAATATTTTTATGAACTTAGTTAAATATTTAATAGTTTGATTCATGACAAAACTTAAATTTTAATATTTTTTGAGACTGAGGTTGTATACTTGTATCTGCTTAAATTATGTGAAGCATAATAATCGCCAGTCCGTACGTGCACGCCTGCCGCGGTTAATTGTTATGGGATCTGCCTGTTGCCAATGTTTATCGTGCAGCACGGCATCAGGCAGATCGATCGGATCCTTGTTTTCGTGATACGTCGACAGAGGCAAGAAATAACAAATGCAGACCTTATTCACGCGGCAGAGTGTACCGCTAGACTTGCCATCGTAGGCGCACGCACGTATCGTACGTCGTCGTGCCATCAATATCCAAATCCGGCGATGTACCTCGCTCTCTTGCGGTACACGTACCAGACCTGCAGGGTGCGCGGTGCAGCTATATACACGTACGTACGCAGTACGCTATACTGCCTCCACTCGGTTGATGATCTTAATTAAATTAAATGACACAGACGGGATTGCGCTTGCGCCATGATGGCAGGTTACCTCTCTGATGAGGATCCTAACGTGCTTTTTGGCTGAATGGAAGAGACGAACTGTCAGACCTTGATGGCTTGATCAATCAGACAATTAACTGATTAAGTAGGGCACAAGGCAGAGCAGGTGACGGCCTAGGGCCTAATGGGCAGGAAGGACCATGCATATCGCCGCCTGTGGCACGTCGGTGCAGCAGGCGCGCAGCGCGCATCCATGGCCGATTAATTATTGGCCATGCCATTACCCCGGCCGGCGAATTTGAGGGCATGCACGGTCAGTCTTCTCTTGGCGCGTACGCAATCTAGCTAGCTACAGGAGTATATGCTGTAGCCCATGTACATGATGTACTGCCTCTCCCTACGCGTAGGCATCGGATGCATCGAGCACCACCAAATGCATCGGGATCACCATTCACTGATTGGTGCAGTACTGCTACCGTCCAATTCTACTATCCGCATGTACTGCACTGCACTGTACTGGTAGGATCGCGGGGGATGATGCACATCAAGCAAACCTACGCTACACGGTACTGGCTGCACCGGCAGAGTACTATTCGGTCCTCCTCCTGGTCCTGGCGTGCGGAAGTCAGCAGGTTACCTGAACCACTGTTGCTGCTTACGTACGAAGGTTTTCAGCGTGTGTAGGTAGATGTAGATAGAGGGCGATGAGTGTCATCAGATTGCTAGAAACTATTTTTTTGTCTCTAATCTCTAAAATCTGGATTCTGAGAAAAGAATCTACCTTCATTTACTGCTCACAGGGTCACAAGAACTGATAAAAGCTAGATATCAACGTCTTCCTGATTTTTAAAGAATCTGACAAAAACTAAGAGTAAAAA